AAAAAAAAAAAAAAAAAAAAAAAAAAAAAGAGATTGTAGAAGTTATCCAACTCAGCAAAATTGAAGTGTCTACCCATTCTCCACGAAGGAAATTATGGCTTGTAATGTTGCTGAAAATCCTGCTAGCTTGTGTTCATCTCCATGTCTGCAATCAAACAAGAGATTCAAGAGAAGACATATATCACCAATACAGAATACAGATAGATAGTTGCACTCTATTTTGCATAGAGAGAAATGTAGATTTTGCACTTCTCTACACAGATAGTCGAGGCAACTGAGACCAACCTGGAATATATTGGTTTTCCAGAGTTACTTAGTATGAAAAAGTGCTTCTTCCTCTTTCTCCATGATAGGGAAGCATCATCCTGCACTTCAATTATAAATCAAGCAGAACATTGCAGTTATCCTTGAAAAGCTCTTTGTCATTCAACATAGCAGTGAAATTAAAGTGATGTGCAAGGGACCAATTTATGGGGGAAAAAAAGACACAGACAACTGTGTATAAATTTCAATCAAGCTCTCTAATAATTGGTGACCAACAACGCGCAATGCACTAAGCATTTTGAACTTTCTTTCTTCCCTTCATAATTTTTTTGTATGCTTTCATTTTGCAACTGTGTCTAACAATGCTCACATATTTATTTCTCCTATCTTAGAAGTAGAACTGTAGAATGCCTGATTACGCATCATATTGCTAAGCAGATAAAACTGGACTAGCAGAATGCCAAGGAAACACCAATTAATTTTTTACAAAAATCTGAAAGTGGTTTGACAGATCTAATGTACACACAAGAGACATGAACCCCACTTTGCATATAAGATCATCCTGCATTCAATAGTTATCATCACGTATTATTACTTATCCCACTAACCATGCTAGGGAACCTAAATCAGAGTTTGAATGCCTATTAAAGTGCACAAGTACATGCAAAACTTTGAAAATTGGGCATTAGACAGTCTATTTACACCTATCTCTGTCAACAAGAGCGCCAAAGAAACCATACAATACATTGTTTGTTATAACTTGTACTATAGCACCCCTATGAGTAAATGTATCCCCCTTGAAATTTTTGTATTATCTTAGATTCTAAATTAGTGTCTGATTCTTAATTCTTCTTTAATTGCAGCATTTTGTATTGTTAAAAACAAAATTAACATCCGAAACTTTAGATTGACTGATAGCATGAAGATAAATAAAAGCTCATTCAAATGTATTTATGGAAAACCAAATAATAAGGGTACTGATCTGAATTTCAAAAGTATTATTTGTGATCGCACCTTCATTTCTACCCTAAGAATAGTGTATTTAATTAGTACTGTGAAATTATTGTACCAGACATTGTGGAAATTCGAGTATAAATACTCGAACATATAAATGAATCAAGTACTTGTACTATTTCAATACCATTTCCAAAGGAATTCTGAAATAGAACTTACCTAACACTCTTCATAATCTCTCTCTCAGTCACTACTGTTTCTTTTGCAATTCAAAAACCTCATGGGCGGTTAAAGCCACATCCAACCAAAGAACAAATGAGGAAGAATTTAACATCAAAACTCTCACTTCACATCAATGTCCAATGATGTTTTAGTCTCTACGACATTGCTGAAGTCCTCACAACAATTAAGCTCTAAAACGATCACCTCATTCTAAAAACCAATAAAATGGCCAAGCAATTCATCGAAAGCAAGTAAATTTTCTAACAAATTACACAGCCGAGGAGCTTTTAGAACACAATACCTCATCAACATGTCGTTTTCCTGGAACCCACGAGGCCTGCGAATCCGAAAACCCATCAACAACCTCTTCGTTCCTCACTTCCGAAATCTCATCAATTCCAGAGCCACCACTACTGGCACTACTACTCCCTCTTTCTCCAGCATAGCCACTGCTGCTAGGGCTCGAAGGCCCATCAACCTCCGGCTCCGAATTGGTCCTCGCCCACACAATACCACCGACACTACCACGTGGCAAACCCTCCCTCGAGTCCTCCACTTCAGCTAAACCAGGCGCAGCCGAATTGGCCTCGACTTCTTCCTCGTCGCTCTCGATCTCCTGGTGATTGTGATTGTTCTCGGCCGCCGATCCATGAAAGACACCGTTTGCATGGCTATCGGTCTCGGACAATGCGAGGGCGTCCAATTGATCCTCGGGGGGTTTGGGGATAGGGTTAGGGTTTGGCTCGGAGGCTTCGTCGCCGGAGGTTGAAGCTCTCGATTCGGAGGACATGGAGAAACCAAGGTCAGACAATTGCGTGAATTTTGGTACAAATGACAAATTAGGGCGTTAATCGAGTGTGCTTAGAGAGAGAGAGAGAGAGAGAGAGAGAGAGAGAGAGAGGGAAGGAGAGATAGATGTTCGTCTACCAGTCGTTGGCTCTATTCTGTTGTGTACTCTGCTGCAATTAACGCAGCAGTGTGAGCCTCTGACCAGTAGGTGGGTGGCTCCGAAATCCGAATTGAGCCTGGCGCGTACTGATACGGGTCGGGTTATATAAAGTTCGGATCTTGTTCGTTTCCTCTCCGGTTGGTTCAAGGAGCTATTTTTAACCCAACCCAAAGCTTCTAGGCTTCATTTTAAAACTGCATATGTTCTATTCATTCTTTTTCTTTTTCTCTTTTCTTTTTTATCAAAGAGTTTCTATTCATTGTTATATGCATTAATGGTTTCCCCTCAACAAAATTACGTTGCTTGGGGGAGACGAATTGCTACAAATCGTATAATGACTCACTTGTTCTCGATGTTTTATTGTCCAACTTACTCTATGTATGATATAAATGTTAACCATATATGACACATGATTTTCTAGTTAACATGCAACAACCATGAGGTAAACAAAATCTACTCCGTAAACTCACACATATTGTTTCGTAATATAGTCAAGCGATGTTTCGAGACTTTAAAGTACTAAATATCTAAGGCTCGTTTGGTAACCTTTTAGTTTTAGTTTTTATTTTGTTAGAGATAGAGAGTAAATATATGAAAGTAACGAATAATGGAGAATGATGATGATGGTAGAAAAATGGAAAAGGAAAGCAAGTGGAATGCTAAACATGATGAAAACTAGAGGTTAAATAAATTTTAAATTGTTTCCATTCTCAAGTTTTTATTTCATTCATTCTTCTTCATTTCTCGAAAAATAAAAATAAAAATATCCTTAATTTAGTCATACCGTCCTCCCTCCATTATAATTCATCCCTCTGTCCAACATGTATGTCCTTATATTTCTAACCAAAAACAAAAAAACAAAAACAAAAACCAAAAAGGTTACCTAAAGGACTGTTAATTTTCACATTTCAGATAAAATGTTTGCGTGCTCACCGCTTCTGTTTATGGTGTTATGAATTTTCAATCACATGGGCTTTTCTGTTTTAAGGGCTTTGTGCTGTGGGCTTCTTTACTGTTTGTAACTATGCCTTACGTGACTGAATTGTACGATTCTCTTTCAGCCTATGATTGCCCTTTGGGCTACCTAGTGAAGCCAATTTTCACTTGGCAAATAAATAAACAAACAAACGCTTTTTCTTTCATTTTTTATACAAGCGATATTGAGGGAAGGGGGGTGGTTTCTACAACTACCAAGGTGTTATGGGTTCAAACTTGAGATCAAACAAATGCTTTTTTTACTGGACTAGATCCCGTTGGCGCAAACAAACCCCTCTCTGCATATGTGAGTTAGACTGTTAATCATGGCAATGAAGATTGGGGGTCTAAAGTTACGTTATTAAACCATTTCAGTAAGAAATTTAAAATGAAGAATGATATGTTAGTCAAGTTATTGATTATGAAAACTATACAAAACAAATTCAAATTTACTTTAAATTAAAAAAAAAAACCTTTTCTATTAAGAGATGCGATAATATACTAAACTCACACACACTATATAGATGTTAAGACTCAAACCCAAGACCTCTTATGGGAGAGCAATTTAGGTTTACATTTAATTTGTATGTATTGCACAATTGTATAAGAGTTTGCTTTAATCAACTCACATAAAGAGTGAAAGAGACTTTAGTTAGTTCGTACGGAGTCACCACTTTGGCCAATACTTTACCCCTTATGGGCCGATCCGGTGTGAGTGGGGATTAGTCTGGGTTGTGGTTAAGGCTTAAAGGTGTCACCCATAATTAGGGCCCATCCAGGATAACCTCATGATTCAGACCAAAAAAAAAAAAAACAAGAGACTTTAGTTTTATTTTATTTTAAATTTAAAGAAGGAAAAAAAAATAGTGAAAGGGACTCGAATCCTCGATGACGAGAAGGAGGGGGGAACTTAAATAAAACGGTGAAGGGGCTGGTATAATGATTAAAGTATCTGTGGCCCCACACTAACCATATCAACGGGTAATATTTTTCTTCCAATATTTTGTTTCGGAAAGGGAACGGTTGAGCATCTTATTCATTTTTGTCAAGACAAAGTCAAATGTCTCCGTCTAACAATTCTAAAATGACAAAATGGTCCTTCCATTTAGTCACCGAATATTGAACGCTTATGTCCTTCTTCGTCTATTAGTCGTTTTCACACAAAAGCATAATTGTAATATGATAGAACTACCCCAACTGAACGCACGGTTACGATTTTATTGACTTTTTTTTGTTTTTAATATATAACCAAAAAAATTTATTCGCCATGAAGTTGGGAAGTTTTTACAGGCCAAAAGAAATTGGAATTAGCTTTGAAATAAACTTTTTTTTTACAAGCGATAATCTCACACACTACCAAAATCTCATAGGGATTTGAATGTGAGACTACAAGTCAAGATCCTTTTTCACTGAGCTAAACTTCGTTGGCAAAAATAAAACTTAAAAAAGAAGAAGGTATGTAAAATTTATGGTTAAGTTATATAGGTCTTTAGTTTATTTTCTACCTTTCAATTTAAATCTTAAATAACAAATCTAAAGTTAGTGTGCATCTATCTCCTTATTAACAATTAAATTTTTGTTTCCCAATTAAATTTACAAGATTTGATGTTTAGATAGTTATCCTCCCTGTCCAATTAAAAAAAAACCTAATCAAGTATTAATTAAATAATTAACTGAACATTATAATGGGTATCCCTTGCAACTATCCACTAAATAGCCTTATAAAAAAAGCAACTATTGCCTTATCTAAAAAGCAATATTAGAAAAATCACCACAAGAGCAGAAAAAACCACCTAATGGTGGTAGTCTGCACAATAGTCGACTGATTAAAAAAATAAACATCCCACCCATAAGCATATTGCGAAACTAAAGTTGCCTTTAAATTAATGTGTGCTTGCTCTACAATCTACCTAAACTCAATTATAAATTTCCATCCCACCAAATTCCCCTTCAAATCAAGAAGTCCCGTAAAAATTGCAAATACAAGATTTTCTTTCCAAAGTCGTCACATGGACATATAAACAATTGTCAAATGTGAATGGTGTAAACGGTCAAATAACGCGTGCTTGCTCTACAATTTACCTAACACCAATTATAAATTTCCATCCCACCAAATTCCCCTTCAAATCAAGAAGCCTCATACAAATTTCTAATACAATATTTTTTTTTACCAAAATCGTCACATGAACATATAAACAAGTCTCAATTGAGAATTATGTGCACGTACAAATAAGCGTCGAATGACCATTGATGTACGCGCAAAACCCAACTTCACAATTGTGTTAAAATATCAATTATCATTGAGCAACTCATATTATAATTCATTGAAAAAGGATTGATAAATCTATTTTCCACAAAAAAGAAATTGATGGAATTTTAAATTCTCAAAAGACGACTAATGTGAAAGGCAAAGGAAAAAGTGGTAGATTTGACACTTTGTATTTATGTGCATAATTTTTTCAATAGAGGGGGTCGTTATCACCATCTTGCTTTTCTTTTTCGTACCAACCCCACCCACATCAATCAAACACTTAAAAAACACCCACCAATCATTTACTTTCCATTTCTAATCGCCAACTTGCTCTATTTCTCCTCACCAAGAATTTACAAACTTTCTCTGCCCCAAAAAAAAAAATTACAAACTTCAAACCCAAAATTAACCACCTCACAAAAACTTAATTAAGATTGAAATTAAGTTAAATTAACAATTCTCCAATTTGGGATTACATTACATTCGTAAAGACGATCATCGTGGTCACATAAATTAGAAACAAGGAAGTAAAAGAAACTAAATTCATAAAAATTAGAAAAAGGAGAAAAAAAAATCTAACCAACAATTCCCGTACACCCCTTTCTCTGTATTTCTTGTTTTCGAAAAATAAAATCCGTCTAATCTTCGAACCCGGTTTTCTCCCAAATTGCATTTCGGACCCGGCTGAGATCCCTCCCTTTCAAGGTCCTCCCCACGCCTTCGTGCACCGAGAACGACGCGATTCTCGTTCTCGCCATCTGCCTCGCCAAGAACTCGTGAGGCGGGACCCGCACGCCGCCGTCCACGTCATCGTCGCCGTCGTCGTCGTCACTCTTCCGGTTTTCTTGGTACTCGTCCCTCAAGATCTTGGACCAGTCCGGAATGCCGACCGGCAGCGACGCCGCCGTGCCGCCGGTACGGTCCGACCGGTCGGCGGCCTCGGATCGCCGGTTCTTGGACGCGGAGACGACGCGGGAGCTCGGGACCGGTTTGCGGAACTCGGGCGAGTTGGACCGGGCGAAGTTGTAGATGTCTGACTCGTCGAGTTCGAATGCGGAGTCGGGCGCTAGGGTTTGGTGGTGGTGGTCGCTGGAGAGGTACCGGTAGTTCGGCCTAGCGTAGTAACTCTTACTCGTCGCCATTTCAGAGGTCTAAAAGGCTGCTGCGTTTTGGGCTCTCTCTCGATCTTCTTTCTTTTCGCTTTGCTTCTGTTCTGCGTTTTGGGTTTTGGCTCTACCAAAATGAGAGCGTTCGATACGCTTTTATAAAGGTTGGCTTGCCGCTTGCAGTTTGGATAAGGCTGCTTCTCTCGAGTTCAATTATGGTAAAATTACGTAACTGGCCCTGCGATTTTAAAGGGAAAAGACACATCGGATTTTCGATTTATCCATTCGAATGGGTTGAGTTCAATATCTCGGGAGGTGGGGCCGGATAGGGTGCGTCGCACAGTTCTGATGGCGGAGGTGTTCATTGGACCCACAGAAATACAAGAAACAGTTCGCATATACTGTCTGTTTTAGTGTTTTGATCCATTTTGTTTAGCCAAAAAAACGTAATTGATCTTTTGTAACTGTAACCTAGAAAAGATAAAGAAAGAAACTGAGGATTTTTTGGTTTTTTTTTTTTTTTTGGAAACTCATGCCTCACATGTGAATGACCAAAATTATTTGCTTTTGAAGTACGTAACATAATTAGGTAACATTTGGTGGGTCGAACTAGGTTAAACTACTTTAATTAAATTTAATAAGTCTTATGGTTTTTTTTTAAAATTTCTGTTAGAATTAAAAAAGATAATAAGTAGTTGTGTTTCATAAAAATAGGATCCATTATCTTATTTTTCTTTTAATTTTAATTTTTTTAATATGAAAAAGT